ATACAATTACAAGCAGTCACATACAGTGAGTTTAGAGTAGAAATCAATAATAAGAAGGAAAATCACATACTTAATAGTTTGTAGGCTGTAACTGTTTGTCCACACCCAACGACAATGATACTTTACTTACACTACCACATATCACTTCTCCAATTCTTTGTTAATCATAGCAGATAACAATAATGATAAATACTAATTCAACTTAATGGATCAAGTCTATGTTTGAACTGAAATTTTCAGGTATAAATTAATTTTATATCCAACTACTAAGACGCATATATTTAAGTAGATGAGCTGTGATTAGAAACAATAACGAAATATTCACTTGGTGTTGTTTACTTGTATCTTCCCATTGTTATTTAGGACTGCAATTGATCAGTCTCTTGTTGGCATATGTGCATCCTGTGCGGATTGTCTCGATATTTCCTGAAGTCACAAGCTTTTTAAGCAAAAATGGATAGTGGCTAGCAGTGGATTCCAGTACGTGCGTCTCGTCCTGTTTGTAACTCGTCAGCTGGATGTACCTTCATCTCAGAGTTGATATTCACTCTAGGACTCGAACTCAGTACCATCCACTTCAAACGCCATCACATTATCCACTTAACTATTGAATAAGACGAAACGTGCGTCAAACTCGATTCCACTGTTAGCCACTATTCATCTTTAATAACGAAATAGTTGAAAATCAGATAAAATTGATCCCTTTCATTTTTTTAAAAACATAAGCCAAGTAATCAAAATTAGTTCCAAATTTTAAAAAAAAATAATTAAATTAGTTACATCTGAATTCTTAAAAAACTTTCACTGATTCTCTCATTTTACAATACCATAATTCCTTTATTCTATATATTTTTTTTGTTTTATACATCAAATCTAAATCCAATTACTAGTAGCTTAGACCTAATTAATACTTTAACAATATACCATAAGTTTTTTGTTTGTCTTTTTTAATATAAATTTTTATCTGGTATGAATTAGTACATCAGTAGTTATTGTAATGTGCAAAACTATATATATATGACTCAGTAACAAGAAAGTGAAAAATATTTGTCTTCATGAACAAGTTAAGGTCAATACAATGATCAGTAAACAATATTTGATATGTAAATAAATATACACATACTCGTATATAAAACAAAACAAAAGAAACACATCACAATTTACAACATCTTATATTAAACTTTAAAAATAATAAAAGATATGATTTAATAATTAGTTACCTAGTGTAAAACTTTAAAAATTATTATTGAAAACAGTTATTAGAAAAGAAAAACCAATGAGATCATGAATTATGAACAATTCTAAAGTGATAATGTTCATCAATTTATTAGGAGAGTCAAATATGGGTTATAAATCTGTGATTTATAGTTGATGGTTAAGGTTAGAAACTAGATTTATGATTTTCATCATGAACTGACATCAGTTCATGATGCCAAAACACTATTTAGCCAAACGGATGAATGAACCTTGCATCAAAATCCATGATCTGTTATTGTAAATCTAGTTGGTTCATCTATAAATTATAGTCTCGCCAAAAAACCCAATTAAATCATGCAACAACCTACTGTGGAGAGAGAACAAACCAGATTCCGAATGAAGAGGGAATTAGGAAAAGATGTTGGATGTGGGAAGGCTATACATTACGGAAATCACCAAACTGCATCATGAGGCAAGTGGCAAATTGGAATCCTGAAGAGAAATTGAAAAGGGGAAGGCTGAAGAACACACTGCACCGAGAAGTAGAAGCAGATACGAAAAGGATTAATAGTAACTGGAAAGGATTGCCCAGGACAGGGTTGGATGGAGAATGATGATGGGCGGCCTATTCTCCTTCATGAGGGATAATAGGGGTACGTAAGTAATTCATGCATAATGATGTAACGAATTGAATTAGTAAACGTTTGTTGGTACAGGGTATATGTTAAATTGTATTCTACTTATTCTTACAGTTGACAGTAGACAAAAAGTTCATAGATGTCAATCTATTGAGCTGCAAAAGAGAATATTAGCATTAGTATCACTTTGAATTACTTCATTTTTTAATGAAGATAAAAAGCAAATATCCACAGCGACTTGACTGAGACAATAATCGCGTTTTTATTGAATGTGTAACAATGAAATAAATTCCTAAAGATTTAGTGTAAAGTTACGACAGATGGGGCTCAACCGTTAAATGAGTCAAACAGGTAGAACTGGTAATATCGAATGATGGTCACAACATATTCATGAATTGATTGAAGTAACTATATCACCACTAGTGAATTTAAACCCATTCGCTAAAATCTACTTAACTCATAAAGGTTTCTGTAAATCAAAAGTACCATTCCTAGTAGAATTGTAATTGAGCTTTAAAGAGCAATTCTAAATTAGGGAAAAGAAACTGTCCATTAGCTTCTAGTTTTCAGAATTTCTCAAACTGATTTCAGTTTATAACAATGAAAACTACTTCAAAATAGGAGATAAAGTAGATAACTAACTTACTTATTAGGCTATAATGGAATACTAGGAATATTTATCCGATTTTCCATATTTATATAATATAGTTTTAACAAGATTTTATTCAACTTAGGCATATTAGCATCATATCACCCATTGGAGATTTATATAGTTAAATTTTAAGGCGAAAATACATAAAATATTCTGTCAAGATATTTTGATTTATCCAATTTATTATAGAAATGCCACATCTAAAATTTTGATATTCAAAAATGTATTGATAACTGACATTCATATTCAGAAAATGGTACACAGAGATTGTCAAGGGGCAAATATTTTAGTTTTGATATAAATAATATTATTGAATTTCAGACTGCAAAATATCCCTAATTTTTAGGAAGTGTTTATACACTCTATCTCACTTAAGCAATTACAGATTATATGCAAAGAAAAATAATGAAGTGAAGTGGTAACATTCTTCAATATTATTTTAAGTAGCATATACAATTTCAATAGGTGTGTAGGTTGATTGTTTTATAAAAATCAACCGACAAAGCATTGACATCCGAGTAGCTACAGATAAATGTTTTAACTTGCGTCGTTGGTTCTGTAACAACCAATATATCGATAATTTATCCTTGGACATATTATTCCCTTCTATACTACAATCGTTGTGAGTGTTTAAGGATGATTGATTCAGGTACAAATAGAAGTTCTGTGATAAACAGGGTATTATCCGAGAGAAGACTTCTTGATTCATGACATAGATAAAAGAAGGTCTGCTGAAGTGAATATTGGCCACTACCTAGTCATAGCCAATGAAAAATGAGCATTATGGACAAATTGAAAAAATAAAAAGCTCGAAAAAGAAAGGAAGTCAGGACAAAAAAGTGAGAAATTGACCCAGAAGAGTACACTAAAGGCCTAGCGGAAGAATTAAAAGATTTCGATTTGAACCAAACAGAATAAGCCATCGTAAGTATCACAAATGAAAACTTGCAACAAATTAGTAAAAAGCTAACAAATAACGAATGCTAGAAGATAGTGAGCTATCAATTAAGAGAGGAAATAAGAAACTACTGCAGAAGTGACGACTAAATCGGTCAACAGACCACAATCGTAAATTATATAATACAAAGAAAAACAAAGTTAACAAAATGATTAAAAAAGGTAAGGTCAAAGTATACACACAAAAAACAACGGGGGTGGTGGTCCGAAACACTATTCCATTAGAAGAACCACCATCAAACAATGAAAAATAGAAGTTATAATAATTATTGAAAGAAACAACGAACAAGTTAGTCTGCTAAAAGAACATGATCAAAAACTGCTTAATGCGATAGGTTGCACGATAAACAAAGAAAGACAAACCGGTAAACCTGATACTCCCCTATACTTTGGGCGATTTTGAACCAGATATGCCAAAAATGAAAAACAATAAAACTCCTGGTGGTGATGGAATGACAGAAACGGTGAAATTAGAAAAAAACAGGCATAACATTATCACACTGGGTTGACGCTAACGTATTAAGCATATATAAAAACTAGAAATATTTTTTACTACACACGATTGGAAAAGTTTTCCTGGAATGGTTCACAAACGTTTGAACGAAAAGACAGACGAGTTACTGTCGCACACACAGTTCGGACTCAGTAATAATAAGTCAACGATGCAAGAGATAACTGAAGTTAGACATATAACACAATACACAACAGACAATAAAACATAAATAATACGCACATTCGTTGACTTGACTAAAGCCTTCGACTAAGTCTCAAGAGTTTAACATGAGGCCTAAACAAACTGAAATTATCATCCATAATCGGAAAGAGATCTAACATATAAATGTGCTAACGAGAACTGTAAAAGAATATTTCATCCGTCATCTTAGAAATGATCACGGGTCAAATACGATGGTAATATCCTTACCTGGTGAGTACAAGCACCCAGTCAAAACTACCTGAGTCTATAAAACGAAAGTATGGGTGACGAAATATGTATAGACTTGCCACCCACAGTATTTTGAGAAATTTAATCAAATCACAGAGGATTTGAACTGGGAACAAAATTCTCTGACTAAAACCAACTTTACATACAAAAACAATGCACAGAAAGACAATACAGAGATGAATCACTGACCGTGAAATGGATGTCAGGTGTTACCCACGAGAAGAGATAATCAGCGACTGCTATATGGTCGATAAATGGTCCGAATCACTGGATAGAAAACACGACCAAGAAAGTGTATGATAGAAACAGCTACTGCGCCCGGTATTCGTGACATTTCAACTGTGTGTCTCTGGATAAGCCAATCGGCTTTACCAACCTATATGGCTGAAAAGGACATCACAAAGGATTAGAAGAATTCGAAACAGTATCATTCTATCATTTTAATTTATATGTTCCACTTGAATCTAGAACCAATTGTCACATTTGCATGTTTGAGAAGTGAATGGCGACATAAATCTATAAACCTTAATATGAATAAACCTACTCATAAAGTACATACAGTACACTACAAAATCCTCTTCACTTCTTAAATATCTGTCCCTTCATTACAGTTAATTTATTCTCTTTTGTTGGATTACACATCAAATAAGTTATTTTTCTTACTATACGTAGTAACTCCTAGTTCACTATACATGACTTTGAAGAGTCAAGCTTAATGTATAACTAACAATAGCGATTCTGTTAGCTGCTTTAATGTAGTCAAAATGAAACCCTAGACCTAGATCTTGTACCAGTAGGCACTCGTCAGCAAGGTGTACGTGTAATCCTGAGGGAACTTTCGCTCCCTAGTGGAGTGCTGAATAGCATATAACCCAAGTTTAGGGTTTCCTGACGGTTATCTCCAACCACCTGATATCTCAACATAATGCACGCGACGTTGAGACACTAAGACCAGTAGCCAAACTGGAGTTTATCGACAGAAGCAGGAGTGAAAGCACTAGACAAGCATGATATTGGTCACTATTCAGTAGCGATCAATGAACAATAAATAATAACTCTACTTTTTATCATCAATTGAATAGCATTATAGAGTAAATCCTGACCATATTTATTAGTTTGGACATCTCGCTGACATAACCTATTACATTTTTAGAGACTAGTTACTAAACGTTGCACGTATCATATAAACTAGGATAACAGCCTTAGCGCAAACTTCATGAATTTCCGGATATTAAAGAGTACACTCACCAATATTATAGTTATTTCCATCAGACATGAGTTTGATACAATTTATCATCATTATTGATCGATTTGAATTAACTTGGAAATAATTTTAAGTGGTTGGAGTGACCTACAAAGGTCGTATACATAAAAATGCAAAAACTGAATAGTTTAACATCCAGTCCAGGCTGAATAGACTTTACTGTAATCAAGTGACCAGATACCATCAATCGATAGTTTACAAAAATTAAATAATTTTATCGGCCGACAAGAAAGTGTATATAAGACAACATTTAACATCTTTCCATACCTTTTAAATCAACCAAAAATCTGTTAATACCGTTACACTAAGTAACTGGTAATTCGACTAAAATTTGTCCAACCGCAACAACGTCATTCAACTACCTGAAAAGAAGGTAAACCATCTTGGTCAGTCAAACGTAATGTACAACTTGGTACGTGTAGACATAGGTTCAAGTTGCGATGGACCATGAACACAAAGAGATGACACTGTGAGGGCGAACCTCAGAGTAGCAACAGTATTAATGGTAATAGGAAAAGTTAGGCATCCAACACACCATTCGAGAAGTGATATAACCAAGAGGACTCATGGGTGGTTTTGAAACTTAGGATCTAAAGGAAGACAAAGAGTAAAGGCACCTACTGTCACGTTCCCAAGTCACTAAATCCATTAATAAACGAGTCTCATTTTCAGATTTTTCTACAGTGTGGGCAGCCAGGAATTGACGACCACTCTCTCACACTAAACAGAACTAGGGATCCTCGTGTTCAAGGTGAACCATTTAAATGGACAGGAATTATAATCCTCAAATTCCAATTTATCAACTACAATCACACCATATAGTAAATATTTTCCTTACAACCAGACAATCGTCGATCAGTAGCGAAATACTGTATAACTCATAAAGATTGTGATAGGAGTGTAAGATTTGTGAACCGTTAGAAGTAACGGAGTACACTCAATGACATTATGAATTCTGTTAGTCGATGCTTGAATTGTTACATCAGAAATATATTTCGAAATGAACGAACAAACAGGAAAATAAGAATTACAAACTAATAATCAAATTAGAGAAAATATAGAGAATAAGCAAATATATGTAACTAAAAACGATTTTCAGTCAATGCATTTACTACATCAAGCCATGGTTGGAGATCGTTTTATGAATTCGAACAAGGAACTAGGTATTTATCGATGCAGCTTAATTTAACGATCAATAAACATACAGATTAATGTCGTATTTACGTGTGATCAACGTTTATATTGGTACCACTGCACATTGAAATAACGCAGTTAGACATTTAACCTTAACCAACCAATCAATAAAGATTCACAAGGTTATCAATTAGTTTATCATTTCTATTAAGTAATCTTCTCATTACTTACTCGGCAGCTCCACCATATACAAAAAGCGATCTAAAGTGTTTTACGGTCAAGCACAGATAGACAACACATTTCTTCTTGTTTCATAGGTAATTTTTCACGACTATATCGATACAGAAAAGACTTCTATGCTATACACTACCTTTCTGATGAGCAAACGAACATATCATCTGCTCAACAGGTGATAGGAATGAACAAAAGCTGAATCAATCTTCGTATGTATCAAGGTTTATTCAATTACCGACCACTCAAAACTAAGAAAACCATCAAAAGTAAAGTGGTTAGCGCGTTCAACTTCTTGATTTTCTATTTATAAAACTCGAGGTTGACGCAGACTAATTTTTTTAACGAGATGTTTTTTTTCTTGAAAAGGGAAAGGAAAGCGTTTAATACATTTGTAATTTCTTTACTCATGAGGGAAAAGTAAACAAAAGCCGAGAAAGCAATTTATATATAATTAAGTTATGATAATTATTTAACAAGAACTAGTATAAATGATCGACTATATTTGACTTATCTTTTCTTTAAAAAAATAATGTAAATTATAACAACTTTGAAGGTAAATAGTAAGAATAAAATGAGTTCTCTTTTTATACAACAAAAAAAAATGATACTTTCTATGTTGATCTAAAAATAATCTATACGAACTATACAGAATAATTATTGAAGAAATTTACTTTCTTTTTTTTATGTGATGCAATAACTGGCAGGATCTTGTTTGCAAAACAGTAAAACTGACAAATAGTTTATACATAAAATCAAATTAAGGAATTTAGAACCTATTATTTTTTCACGATCGATGAACTAATTTAATATCATCATCAATAAGATTTTGTGATGAATTTGGATAAATAGAATTAGATATAGTCAAATCTTTATCATTTTCAGGAGTTACTTTAAAATCTAAATCTGAATAAACTGACTCCAGTTCACTATCGGAAGTAGAATAATTCGATGAGGATAGTCCACTGCTGATTTGTTCACTCAATGAAGTATTACTATGATGGTTTTCTATCAATGTTGGTTTTAAACTCGTATCATTTTTAGCTTTAAAGGCAACACGTTGTTGGAGATTACGTAAACGTTTGTGTAAATGTGCTCGAGCTTTACAAATATCACTTTGCCAATCTGCAGTCCATAATAGTTTAGCAGCTTTATAGCCAAGACGACAAGTACGAAAAGCCCAATGGATATTTAAACAATCAAGTAATCCGCAACTACATACGAAAATAGGAACAATAAGTGGAAAAGATCTAGCACAAATTTTTTGAACATCAGATCCGTAAGATATATAGGCTATAAACCAAAATGGTAGAATCATTAAATTACGTGTTATGATAAAAAAAATCGCAAATATCAAAGTTACGCATGCGACTCTTCGGCGATCAGGTTTGTAACCAATAGTACGATAGAACCACCTACAAAGATAATTTCAAAATATGATTAAATCTTACAGGTTGGTCATTATTATTATGAATTAATGAAAGAAATGTTCAAACAATTGATGCGATAACTGACAATCTAGAATATGTTTTTTATATTATTTGTAGAGAAGGAATCTCAGCTAATTTGATAAATATGTACTGATGTGGTGCGAGGAACAACATATGAAGTTATACCCCTTTGGTTAAAGCATTCAAATTTAATTAACAGCTTACATGTGTATACCGCACCTAAGTAGAAAAGTTGTTATCAAATCGTTTTATCAGTCTTTAAACTTCAGTTAGCAAACTGATCATTAACGTAATGAAACCTGATGGCGAAGGGGGGACAAAAATATATGACTACAGAACTCGTATACAATCAGATAATATTAGTGGTACTTCATAATATTACCCATGACCAAGCAGAATTGTTCACAAAAGACATAGGTAGAACTTGGATAAGTGAGGCGTTTAATAATCAACAACTTTGAATGGTAACTGAGTTTAGATGTGCGAAAAGGTCTGGGCCTTCTGTCGTTCTACGTAGTTTGGTATCAAGTGTATATATATGTATATCATTTTAATTTTTCTTCTCCTGACAGTATTTACTTTTTATGTATATTTCAAACAAATCGTGGATGTTTGTTGAAAATCATTCTGAAATATTTTTTAGCTTGCATAGAGTACTACACCTACAATTCATTTTGGTAAATAAAAAGTAGTTTGTTCACTGTAAACATTTTTCCACCTTTCAGTGATGATAGAAGTAAGGGTTTTAAATTGAAAAACGGGTTTTACCAAGGAAACTTCAATCAAAACCGTGGCAGGCAAAACATATAAAAAATACTTAGAATCAATACTATTGAGAAGGACTAACAATATTTCATTAATAAAACTGAGTAGTAATTTGAAATCATTCACTAGATTCAAATCTTTAACTACAAACATGTGGGGTTTTTTTCAGACAGCACTGTACGAAGCCCCCAAATGCCCTGATACGGCTGAGAGTGGAGAGTCCGCTCTCCCTCTTGAAATGCTCTCACATGGCCACGCGTATATAGCCTCTGCCAGGAAAGTCCTACTCACTGCCTACTCGTGGCATTACTGTTGTTTACGAAACTGGCGTTTTAACCGGGGTGGTGGACACGGAGTGTCCAACTAGAAGAGTTGGAAAACCCTGATTCCAAACCAATGGTGCACATGGGCTCCAGTATCCTGAAGGAACAAATGGCGTATTAACCAATCGTTGGTCACCGGCTACCATGGGACAGCATCTAATTACGTTGCTTCACTGCCTTGTGGATCAGACCTTCAGGTTGAAGGCTCCGGGTGTGGCCTCCTAAGAAAACCACCTGCTTCGGTTTGGGCACCCGGGCAGTATCACAGCCCTCACACATATCAAATGAGATATGTGTGGTGCATATGTATTTGGTGCCTCCTTGTACTAATATCTATGTGTTTAAATAATAAATAAATAAATGTGAAGTGGCGATATAGTGGTTAACATGCTCAACCTTAATTTAGGGGAATGGAGAATCGGACATTAGATAAGTTCGCTTGAATATTCAGGTAGTATTACTAACTCTCACAAAAAAATTCTGACGCAAAGAAGCGCAGAACACAAATATGTGCTTGGTGAATGAGTTACATATAATCATATAACAGACTAAATTCAGTTAGAACTTTCTTTCCTAAAGGAAGACTTGCTACAACATTTAATAATGATAACAAAATGTATAGTGGTATATTGGTTCAATATTACACTGGATAAGTAATTCATTCATGAAGTAATACAAAATATACAATACTGAGGAAGTAACAATTAAAAGCAGTTACTACTACTTCCATTCACATACAATAACTTTATCCTTCATATGGTTGATAACAGTAATGAAATTAGACATTATTGCTAGTAAAGGTTTGGCATTTGCTTGTTGTTGATATCCAGCAGTGAATCTTGACCAACCTATATTTGAATGTTTTACATTTTAACGGGAATCTAGTCAGACATTTCGTAACTGTGGTCATTCCTGTTTCGGATTATGAATCTTACAAACAAAACTTATACTTAAAATTAAGTAAAACAGAATGAAATGATATAAGTAGATACCTTTGGTTGACGAAAGGTGTAGATAGCTCGGTCGTAAGTCGATAAACACCAAAAAATACGCAGGTTCGATATCGCTAAAATAGAGGAAAATAAAATTTTATTTAGTTGAATAACAAAAAATCAACTAGATGTCAATGAAATTGACAGAAATTTCTAAAAAAATAAGATATATATATATATATATATTGATGCTTATTCACTTTCAAAGTAGGTCTTAGACTTATCAAACTCTATCAAGAGGTAGATGTCAGAAGACAGTACCAAATTCCTTCAAGACTATCCATCGATTTCTTACTTTCGTTTTTCTGTGAAATATTTCAATGATATCGCAGGATGATAAGAACTAATAAGTTATTCCCGTCATTCGAAAGCGAAGCTAGTAAACAATCAAAACCTATTATGAAAACCCTATAATATGTTACTTTGTGTTATTCTAATCCCAATAAAAAAATTTTAAAATGGTTTAATTTCTAGGAAAAGCAAATAACAAAGAGACGAAATAAATTGTACTTATAATTAATAACACTAATAACAAAAGTGATAACATTGTTGAATTACCACAACATAGAAAAATGCTAAACATGCGGCCGCATGATGCAGAAGAAATATGATTAACTGGTTATTTCGCCAATAGAATGGCATAGAAATAGCATCTAAAAAAACAAGTAGTCGACAATTTTTTAGAACATTAACACAACTAAAGAATATGATTATACAAGCTAAAAACTACAATTAATGGGTGGACTTATTTGCAAATAGCGATATCTATCAGTACACAGAGAAACAAGTGGAATTTATTTGAGCTCTAGTAGTTCAATCTTTAATCACAGATTAGAACCACATTATACATATCATGTTAAACTAATGTTATCGTTTGCCGATTTGACAGAAATGAATAGACAGCAACTTATTGCAGTGACGTCAGTGATATAATACACATTTGACCTTGTTTATTAAGTTATTAGAAGTTCTCTTTTACAGGTTAACAAAAAATTGAATGTAATAATTAAAATCTAATGACACCTGAACAGATATAATAATTTTCATGTACAGTAAAAAATTCATCATTTTTCTGTTGTTTTGTAAACTTAATAGGTTGACAGCATAACATTTTTGCAACACGTGAAATTGATGGAAGAAATTAGTCTTATGAGAAACGGAATTGTATGTGCAACACATAGGAGTAAAATGAAGACGGTGAATAGAACTAGTTATAGTAAACTCGGATATTAATACTCTGAAAACTTTCATAAGATCAAGAAAAACTAGTGCATACAGAAACTGACAAGGAGATTTCTCTTGGTGCTTGCCACCGGAAACATTATAGAAAATATACGGAAAGCTTAATTATATTTACAGAAATTTAATACCCATGGTTCCAAAAGATATACTACCGGCTATCGAGAAATGATTAACCACTCCACTATTTTACAGCTTCAAAGAGTTTTGATAAAATGGAAGATATTTAGACGAAGTTTATTTGATTATGAATTCAAATGAAATAACAAGTGAGTAATATTCGTATTAAATGCAAAATTCTAGATACACATGAAGAGACAGTTCACAGAGTTGTGGACTTGAAATGAGTAAGATGGGTCACATACTATACAACTGTAGCTGCTACCTTGATGTGGCAGTTGGGTTTGTCTGTAGTAATGACTCAATTGGGCTATAGTGGTAGGAACACATGTTCCTTTAGGTCCTGGAATCCCAGGCAGGTCGGTTGGAGAACAGTAAAACCAAAAACAGCAACTTAATGCCCAAGGGCGAAGTCATACGACAATCTCTTAACCAATCAGCGCTAGCGGATGCTTGGAGAAGACTCTAGAATCTTCTCGTGTAAAAGCTATAAATATGCTGACGTTTTCCTTATTGTAATTCCTACTTTCATCAACCCTTGTTATTTGGAATATAATTTCGTCCCTGTCCAAACGTGTTTTGATTTGGGGACTTGTCGAGTGAATTAGTGTCCAATAATACTAAGTAATAGGAGTAGCTGGGTCGTAATAAAAGAAATTATAACAACAATAGTAAAGCATTTCCCTTGGACAACCAGCATCTGTACCGATGCCGCCTCACAACGGAAGGACGATGACAGAAGAGGTTGATCCTGAAAATCTCACACCTCACTTTACACCCACGGATTTCCGTCTCCGGCGGTAAAGCCTTATGAAGTGAGGAGCTGATACATCAAAAACTTCCCATAAAAAGGTCGTGAGAGACCGGATTCAAGCAGTTGTCTCATAAGTTCTGAGGTCACATTCCAGGTCGTTAAACCCAGTCTCTTTTCATGGCATGGGTAACCGGAAAGTAGAGACTGCCTTTGTGTCTCTAACAGTACTCAGGGTCATTCTATTCACGATCAAATTCCCTACTAGTCTCTCCCATACGACTAACCTTTCTCGTGTATATATATATATATCACCACGCAACCAATCCTAAGGATTCCACTTTATGAAAAGTTATTCCTGGTCTCCTTAAATCACGCTGTAAACTACAAGTTAGAGCTTTTAATGTTCGAACATTGTGTCAGAGTAGACAATAGGATTCTTTAGCTAGGATTCTAGAATCATGTGCCATAAATGTATGCTGCGTCTCCGAAACGCTCATACGCGATCCAAGTACAGTCATTCATTTGACCTCACCTTGTAAATATACAAGGAACTGTCAGGATTTAACCTTCGACATTCTGTAAACCCCACTCCAATTTCCTGCGGCTTCGCTGGTGTACGTATGATATTAAATCTAAAAGCAGAACAGGCTCTGTTAGACTGGATTCCGAAAGACGGTCGCTCGTGTGCTGTTCGACTAAACGAGACAGTATGAAGTCGAAAAGATAGGGACACATGCCGTTGCCTTTTCGTTGACTCAGCCTACGCTTTCACTGATTGTAGCTCGGATGAACCTAAAAATAAATCATATAGGAAACCACCCAACCTCCTTCAAAAAGATACACTCTCTGATGCAGTAATCATAGCAGGTTATTTTAATTTTTACTTAAGCGGGTTTTACATTGTTGAGGCTCAGAGAACAGATAATGGAGACTGTTGCAACTATGCTCAGGTATCCATCCATTTTTGGCAAACACCAACTTTAAACATAAGGACAAACATCATCTGACGTCGCGACCTCTATAATCAACTGACCGATGGACTTTAATAGGTCATATTGCTATTAGCCATCGTTGGAGGGGCTCGACTGAAAACTCGCTTATTTTGGAGCATGTGAGTGAACTCGGATCATGCCCTAGTTCAAGCATGTATTTGTCTGCATCTTACAGAACGTAAGAAATCCACAACAAGAAAATCACTTCAGGTTCAACTTATTGGTGAAAACATTGGGATAATATTTCAGGATCAACTGCATAAGGAGGTAATCAATCGCGAAAATGATGTCTACCACGAAGTACCTTAATATGGTATCCAAAAAGCTATGGAAATACCAGTCATGTTTGCTAGTAACTTAAATCAAAAGGTCGAGAAAAATCAGTAGATTTCAGGGAGATCTATAGAACTGATAGATGCTCTGAAACTCATCCCATCTGGCTCCAAACACAATGAGGAGCGGAGGCAGCTTAAACACAGGCTGATCAAAAGCCTATGTAATGATTGTGAGCATTGGTGGCTAGATAAACTTGAAGAGATGGAAAAAGCAACGACGATAGGTAATATCAGCTAATTAACTTATCAAGGGAACGGGTATTAAAAATCCGACTATTCGAGAAAATATCACGGAAAACGACAGGACTATTATTCACTCTTAATCCAGGGAATTGAACCGATGGACAGAAAACTTAAGGGCATATTTTAAGTGACCTTTAACAACACTTTAGTCACTCACTATCTCCAAGCAACCTGAATGGCAAACTGATGTAGGTCCTCTAACTCTTAGTGAGATTGAAAAAGCCACAAGTAATGTAAACCGAAGGAGAGCAGCAGGACCTGATGGACTAACTACTGAGATTTTTAAGGACAGTGCTTCTAGCATCTAGATTAACAGTCTTAGCTAAAATCTGAGAGGTGGACTTGATCCCATCTGACTGGTCTTCATCACTGGTCGTCCCAGTCTATAAGAAAGAACAAAAACCCTCTAATGATAATCACAGAGAAATCAGTTTAACTAATGTAGTGGCCCCAATAATACTTGAACGTATATTTACAGCTCGTGAAGAGCAAATTCAGAAAATCAAGCTGGTTTCTTACCTGAACGTGGATGTATTAGCCAAATATTCACCTTTCGGCAGATTTTGGAACATAGACATACTTTTCAACGTCCCACTATAATTATATTTTTTGACCTTGAGGCAGCGTTCGACTCTATTGATCAGGTTTTGTGAAAGTGTTTGATATTGTAATGCGTACTAAAGTACACTAGCCTTGTGCAGGCTTTTTACTCGAACACTACTAATCGAAACAGAGCTTATGCCGAGCTGTCATCGAAACTGTTTCATTCAACTGGTGTTTGATAGGGTTGTTCGCTTCATTTATATTTAACGTTGTCATAGACATGCTTTTAGAGACAACGCTTTCATCGTCTGACCTTTCATGGAATGGTCTACCGAGGAATTCACTTGTTAGCTTAGAATACACAGACGATACAGTTCTGTTCAGTGAAGACGATGAGAAAACGAAATGTTTTCTGACCACATTAACCAACGATGCAGGCATGTTCGGAATCCGGCTCTCTCCATCCAAATGCAAGATGTTACTTCAGGATTGGCTCATGTCACCACCTGAATTAGTGATAAGGAGTGAAGTAGTTAAACGCATTGACTGCTTCACTTATTTTGGGAGTCTCATCACTACTGATAGTCTGGTGTCTGACAAAATCTCGGCACAGATTAAGAAGGCTCGATTGGCTTTTGGTAACTTTGTCACTTCTGGAGTGAAGAGATATCCATCTTCCAACCAAAGGAGTTCACTGCACAGCAGTTCACTCAGCTCCACTTTATACATGTGAAATATAATTATTTAGAGTAGATAATGCTCATAGATTACTGGTATTCGACCATAGGTGTCTTCGAAGCATTGCTGATGTATTTTAGGACCACGGAGTAACTAATGCCTTGATTAGGAAGAGAGTACTGGGTAAAGATGGGAAGTTGATTAATCAGGTAGTAAATCTTCATTACCTGAAGTGGTCGGGAAATGTGTTACATATGCCTAACCACTATCTACCTCGACGAGCGATGTTTTCTGGTGCAGGAGTAAGCTGGAAGAAAGCCAGGGGCGGCCAAAACAAAACATGGCATCAGTCTATGAAGTCATTGACAATCAGACCAAGCCATCTTAATAGGTGTAGACTACCTGGTTCGGGTCCACATAATATTGTAACCAATGGTTGGAGACCTTGAATGACATGGCTCGAAATCGTTTGCATAAATTCTTTGTCCTCATCGAAATTATAAATTTCTCAGAAACCATTTGTTTTTATTTCGTTAAATTATATTTTATCTTCGAGTCATCTTCTGTGCCTAATTTTTTCTGTTATCTCTGATACTGTTACTATCTCGGCGACTTGATTAGTTTGCGTAGAACTTAGAGGATTATCCTCATTATTGCAGTAATTTTAACGTTGCGGAAAACTATTAATAGGATTTAGAATATCGGCTTAATAGCATACTCAAAACGAATACCGACAGTCTTTAGAAAAACGTTTGTTATGAAAACAGATGTGGTATAAAGGTATGGGTGTTCGATATTTAATGCATATGTGAAACACCCAATTTTGTCACATAATGACAGTTTAATCCAACAAATTCAACTTCAAATCGGTCGTCAATAATGAGTATTTAAGCCTACTATATGGTATGGAGATAAGGTTATCACCCACTCCGTTAAACTTATATGCCTCATTTTCCAGCAGAGCATAAATTAAATTTACTTATAAGATATTCTTCAAACTTACCACATAAAAAGTAACCAATGGAAATCGATAGTGCCATAAGACCAGAATGAGCTACACTTCTTTTGAAGAGAATATGAGAAAGGAAATACATGTAAAAAGTATTGTTATGATAAGAACAAGTGAATAATATATTTATACACTCCATTTCCTACTGTTTTATTTCACTCAGTTTTACCATATATACGAAACTAAAAAGAGTAACTTGGGTAAATTCTGGCTTCTTCCTAACCAACCCCTCGTCATAACTATCATCATGATCGCTAATTTAGTCACTTAGAACCTAATACATACAAGCATTGGTAAAATTTTATACACACTAGAAAGGCAAGATGAAATTGTTAAGCTATAAACCAAAGAAGTAGATATTGTACGGCCGATAGTAAAATATATAGCAATAAAGTAACTAAGTGATTAGATCACATAAGGTATATTGTCTAAAGAAAACATTTAATAAACGAACTGGGGAAAGTCGTTAATAAATTACCAATGTGTTTGATAATTGAAGAGTAATAATAAGTAGTTATGTCTTAACAATAGCTATGCCAGAAAAATAAAACAACAATCACATTTAGATACAGGGATGAGACTATTTATTAACCAATCTAGCCTAACAAATAAGTTGGGTGAAATTTTAAGTTATACTGATGGCACGTTGTACAAGTTTCAAACAACCAATCTAGAAAGTAAACATTTAGACTAATAATATATGATTTTATTCATTAGAGATACCAATTGTCTCCAAATTAATGTGATTTACCAATTAAGTCAATCTGAAGATGATTACTGTTCACTCTGGCTTTAGAAGTTTTGATGACATGGATTCCCAAAGTCCAATTAGTACATGGTAACCTAGTATCACCTGTGGCGTTGGTAAGACGTCCGTCTCCCAAACAAATAGCGCAACAGTCCGCTCTATTCTACTTTATGGCTGTGAAACAATTTCTATGAAAGTAGATGTTCGTATGCTGAAGGTTTTTGATCACAGATGAATGTTGAGAGTGACATGACATGGCTCAAAATTGTCCATTTTTCAATCATATCGATCTTGGATTCTATTATCCCTTCATATATATCTTTCAATTATCTTTTCAAACCATATTTCTAAGGTTTAAATACCATTTTTACTATATCTAGTACATCATTTCTATTTCTGTTGTTATTTTTACGTTGTCCCAATCAGGTATGGCAACTTGAACCAACACACATTCGTAACAGGATGTATGTTTATGTATATCTGCCTTCGCTAGCACTAAACCAGGAGGCTGCGGTGAAAGTAAGGAAGGTTTTCGAGATACTTGTGTTCACAGTATGTAGAATAGAACTTTAATCAAGTCAGAATCACCAAACGTTACTTGATTTAAAACATGGTGCCGCGGCTAACTGACTTTGGAAAATCAATCCTGCACATAAGCATTCGTCAAACAGTGAGGGAAAGACTCAGAAAACCTTAACGTTCGTATTACTGCAAAACGATGAACGAGCAAGTTAATGGTAACAAGCTAGCTAAATTTTTACACACTGTTTCTTACGCAGATTTCCCGTAAACAGGTGCTTCTTGTTTTGCAACTAGTTTTAAATGCAGTCATATCCTCAAGTCCAGTGAAGCGAAGTGATGCGAAAAAGATGACTTGTTAAATGTGAACAAGAACAGAAATCATGGCATCAATATAATGCACGAAACTCTAAGTGGCATTCGATGTACTTAAATGTATTAAGTGACATTTATTTGTCAATCGAAATATTCACACGAAAGAGCTAAACAGATTTTGTATTTTAGAATAGTAGACTGTAGTACAGGCAAAAGTGCAAGTATTTCCATACGGTAAACTTTCCTGAGCAAATTTTAAACGCTAGTAAATAATAATTATCAAATCCAAACAAACAAAATCGAAACAACTGTAAACGACACAGATTACTTACATAGCCGGATTATACCACAGATCAGCATTGGTAACTAGCGCTGTAACACACAGAATGCTAACAATAGTCGCGTGTATTGACGATACTACACTGAAACCAAGAAGAAAAATAGTTTAAAATTATTTATACTTGAAATATAATAAATCGATGTTCTTTAGAACTGGGTTTTGATTATCTCACATCAGAAAACGTAAAAATGTATAAAGTACGAAATCTATAGTGTATTCCGAGTTCGAAAAGCAGACCAGTACATATCACAACAATTTCAACAAGTGATAGTTAAAAACGGTGCACAATCTGATTACACACATACTTAAAACTTCCAAAAATGAACTGGTGAACTAAAGAAAAGTGGGCAGAACAAACTAACGCTCAATACTGTACTGAAATAGAAATAATGTATTAGATATAATAAAAAGAAGTGGTTGAACCTAAGAAATATAATTTGAAAAGATATTTGGAAGGTATGTATAAAGAGATAATGGAATCCAAGATGGATAAGATTGAAAAACGCACAGTTTTGAGTCATGTCATAGAACGCCTCCAATTATTGATGAGTTCCCACAAACCCTGACAAAGTAGTCTGAGCCTACCTACTTGCCTCAGACCAACGGTCAATAGCTTCTTCGATTGATGTTGCATTTGGATTTGAGAGTACTTAACATTTTTTCCAACCTAATCCTGTACTATCGATTACTGCTCGTTAAGGAGACTGACACCTGAAGAATTAGGTTAGGTAAATGCTTTTTCTAGGATACTGATGACAAAGATATATAGGCGGCCGTGACAAGCCTCTGTATACTGTTACCGAAGCTTTGAAATGAAAGAACCACTTCAATATACTCTAGAAAGATGACTGGTAACCAACTAACCATTGCGTATATTTTTCTAGGAATAACGGGGAGATTTATGTTTTACAAAAACAACAAGTTTAGATTAGTTGCTTAGTCCTAACATAAAGTAATTTCACCATTTGACTTACTTTGTACTCACCAAGAGGGATGGGAATGGAACTATAGCCTGCAATAGTATTGCGTGATTTGGGTTATCCTGAAGAATTATGGGTTTCATAACACTTCTAAAACCTAATCTGGCTGATTCTAAATAACTCGAGACTCGGTAACATACAACGTACATATTTCTAAGGTTTGAAGTGAAAAATAGAACCAAGCACACAAACACAATAGCCATATGTAATTGTGTAATTACATTAGTACCAACGAATGGATTTCTGTGTGACATATGATTAGGCTAGTGGGTCTTAGGTATACTAGTTACGACGACTTACCGTGAATCCCATTCCATCCTATGGGGCCGAGGTAGATTTCGATACAACTTATTATATCGTGTGAATATCCAAGGGCTGATGATGTGATGGATTGTTAAACAGCAACCGAAGCTGAGAACAGACCATTTAAAATAGTATTCGGCTTTGGGACCTTTTCGTAATTCTCCAAATACCGAAAGAGCTTCCTCGAGATCGCCACCTAGAGCCATCTCCATAGATGTTTGATTGAATGATATTCAAAAATGCAGCCAACTACAGCGAGCTACCATTTGTCAAACACCTGGACCCTATGAAGTCGTCTGAAGATGGCCTTGATTTGCTATGTGACGGGTTGAAACAAAACCAGATCGAAAAATGCTGAATTTTGAAAGAGACGATCGCACAACCTCTTAAACCTTTGAAGCAACAAATGGCACTAGGTATATGTTGTACACGATGTCTTTGTAAGAAAAATTCATATCGTAGGGTTTCAAACGTATCTGTGCGAAATTGAAGGAGCTTTGGAATAGTGGGGTTCCGTATTTCGTGGCAATCGATCACCGATGCCTTTAGGTAAAACTCTATTCACATTTTCAGATAGAAGAGAAAATAAAATTAGTAAATTCTGTCGAGATATTATCCAGAGAAAATATCAAGTTTTCTCTCAAAAGAGCACCGGGAAGTTACTCGTACCATCTCGGCCATCAGGTGATTCCGGTATTTGACTAATTTTAAAGAGTGGAAGGTGTACCTACAATCTATTCTTCTGTGTTGTGTCCCTAGTTCTGAATGTGAAAGTACGAGAGGTTGTTGTTCTCGAGGGAGGCAGAGAGATTGACATAACATTTACAAGTCAGTGTCTTAGAGACAATGTATGTCAAAGGACAAGTGAAAATAAAAGGTCACTGCATAACCGAGCGTGTCATACGTTGCAAGTGGATCATTCAACGGTGCTTCAATAACACATAACTCTTAGTATAAAGTTTTACTTACGCTTGTTACTCCTCGTGAAGGAGCATAGGCCGCCCACCAACATTCTCCATTCAAACCAGTCCTGGGCAATCCTTTCCAGCTCCGTCCAGTTGTTATTCATCTTTTTCATATCTGCTTCTATCTCCCAACTCCGCCTGTAGCTCTTATAGGGTTGCTGCCGGTCCCAAGCCCGGGTAAAGGAGGAGGGTTGGGCATGGGGTTAGCGTCCCCATCCCGTAGAAAACTAACTCGCTAAAAAAACGCTTACCAGAAAAAATAATCCAAACCATTTTAACTCTGCCCTGGGAGTTAGAAGGTCTTCATTTAGAAGAATTATGACGCTTCATGGTGAAAGCCGAGTTCCTTCGGAAGCCACGAGGCCGATGCCACTTCTAACAACCAGAGCAAAAATTTTTATAGGTACATGGAACGTTCGAACAATGTGGGAAACCGGGAAGACCAGTCAAATATCAATGGAAATGAGGAGATACAACTTAGCAGTACTGGGAATCAGCGAAACCCACTGGACCCAAGCTGGACAGAAAAGGCTAGCTACGGGAGAGATGCTGCTATACTCCGGTCACGAAGAGGACAATGCTCCACACACTCAGGGAGTCGCTCTTATGCTGTCCAAAGTAGCACGAAATGCACTTGTAGGATGGGAATCTCACGGATCCAGAATCATCAAAGCATCATTCAAAACAAAGAAGGAGGGGATCTTAATGAATATTATCCAATGTTATGCACCCACCAATGATAGCAACGACGAAATTAAAGATCAGTTCTACGAGCGGCTGCAGTCAGTGATAGAGAAATGCCCAAAAAAGGACCTCACCATTCTAATGGGTGATCTAAATGCCAAAGTCGGAATAGACAACACTGGATATGAAGATATTATGGGACGACATGGACTGGGAGGAAGAAACGAAAATGGAGAAAGATTTGCAAATCTATGCGCATTCAACAAATTGGTCATAGGAGGCACAATATTTCCACACAAGCGTATACACAAGGCTACATGGATCTCACCGGACCACACTACAGAGAACCAAATAGATCATATTTGCATCAACAAAAAATTTCGAAGGACAATGGAAGATGTGAGAACCAGGAAAGGTGCTGACGTAGCTTCAGATCACCACCTAGTTGTAGCCAATTTGAAACTGAAGCTAAAAAAGAACTGGACAAGTGGACAAACAGCAATACAAAGGTTCAATACAGCCTTCCTTCGAGATACTGTCAAACTCAATGAATTCAAGATAGCTCTCAACAACAGGTTCCAAGCCTTACGAGATCTACTGAAAGAAGAAGAAACTAGTATGGAGGACAACTGGAAAGGCATCAAGGAAGCATTGACTTCAACGTGTCAAGAGGTTCTCGGTCTAAAGAAATACCATCATAAGGAATGGATCTCTACAGAAACACTGGACAAGATCAAAGAAAGGAAGAACAAGAAGGCAGCAATAAACAACAGCCGAACACGAGCAGAGAAAGTCCAAGCACAAGCTGAATACATAGAAGCAAACAAACAAGTGAAGAGGAGCATTAGAGCCGACAAGAAGAAATACGTGGAAGAACTAGCAACGACGGCAGAAAAAGCTGCTAGAGAAGGAAATATGAAACAGCTTTACGATACAACGAAGAAACTATCAGGGAAATACAGTAAACCAGAGAGGCCGGTCAAAGACAAAGAAGGCAAGCCAATCACCGAAATTCAACAACAGCGTAACAGATGGGTAGAATACTTCGAAGAGCTCCTGAATAGGCCGGCTCCAATGAATCCACCGAACATCGAAGCAGCACACATAGATCTTCCTATAGATGTCAATCCACCAACTACGGAAGAAATTAGAATGGCCGTCAGACAAATCAAGACCGGGAAAGCAGCGGGACCCGACAACATACCAGCTGAAGCACTGAAATCAGACATCGAAGCAACCACAAGCATGCTTTATCTTCTATTCAAAAAGATTTGGGAGGAGGAACAAGTGCCGATGGACTGGAAAGAAGGACACCTCGTCAATATTCCAAAGAAAGGAGATCTGAGCAAATGTGAAAACTACAGAGGCATAACACTACTGTCAATACCAGGGAAAGTCTTCAACAGAGTGTTGCTGAACCGGATGAAGGATGCAGTAGACGCCCAACTTCGAGATCAACAAGCTGGATTCCGTAAGGATCGGTCGTGCACAGACCAAATTGCAACACTACGGATCATCGTCGAACAATCAGTTGAGTGGAACTCATCACTATACATCAACTTCATTGATTATGAAAGGCATTCGACAGTGTAGATAGGAAGACATTATGGAAACTTCTTCGACACTACGGAATTCCTGAGAAGATTGTCAATATTATCCGGAACTCATACGACGGACTACAGTGCAAAGTAGTGCATGGAGGACAGCTGACAGACGCATTCCAAGTAAGGACCGGAGTCAGACAAGGCTGTCTACTCTCTCCCTTCCTTTTTCTCCTGGTGGTCGACTGGATTATGAAGACCTCAACATCTGAAGGAAAACACGGAATACAATGGACAGCTCAGAATCAATTAGACGATTTGGACTTCGCAGATGACCTAGCCCTCCTATCACGTACACACGAACAGCTAGTGTAGCAGCAGTCTCTGCATCAGTAGGCCTCAGCACACACAAAGGGAAAACTAAGGTCCTCAAATTCAAAGCGGAGAACAGCAATCCAATCACTCTTGATGGCGAAACTCTGGAAGATGTAGAATCCTTCACATATCTGGGAAGCATCATCGATGAACAAGGAGGTTCAGATGCAGACGTAAAGGCGAGGATCGGCAAAGCAAGGGTCGCATTCCTACAATTGAAGAACATATGGAACTCAAAACAACTTTCAACCAATATCAAAGTGAGAATCTTCAATACGAACGTCAAGGCAGTTCTACTGTATGGAGCTGAAACTTGGAGAACTACAACAACCACAATCAAGAAAGTACAAGTATTTATAAATAGCTGTCTTCGCAAGATACTCAACATCTATTGGCCGGATACCATCAGCAACAGCCTTCTGTGGGAGAGAACAAACCAACTTCCAGCTGAAGAAGAAATTAGGAAAAGACGATGGAAATGGATAGGACATACATTACGCAAATCGTCAAACTGCATCACGAGGCAAGCCCTAACTTGGAATCCTGAGGGGAAGCGAAAAAGAGGAAGGCCAAAGAACACATTGCGTCGGATAATAGAAGCAGATATGAAAAGGATGAATTACAACTGGACGGAGCTAGAAAGGATTGCCCAGGACAGGGTTGGATGGAGAACGCTGGTGAGCGGCCTATGCTCCTTCACGAGGAGTAACAGGCGTAAGTAAGTAAGTAAGTTCTATCTCCCGACGTAATGTGTTCTTTGGCCTTCCTCTTTTTCGCTTCCCTTCAGGATTCCAAGTTAGCGCTTGCCTCGTGATGCGGTTTGACGATTTGCGTAGTGTATGTCCTATCCATTTCCATCGTCTTTTCCTAATTTCCTCTTCAACTGGAAGCTGGTTTGTTCTCTCCCACAGTAGGCTATTGCTGATGGTATCCGGCCAATCGATGTTGAGTATTTTGCGTAGACAGATATTTATAAATACTTGTACCTTCTTGATGGTGGTTGTAGTTCTCCAAGTTTCAGCTCCATACAGTAGAACTAACTTGACGTTCGTATTGAAGATTCTCACTTCAATATTGGTTGAAAGTTGTTTTGAGTTCCATATGTTCTTCAATTGTAGGAATGCGACCCTTGCTTTGCCAATCCTTGCCTTTACGTCTGCATCTGAACCTCCTTGTTCACCGATGATGCTTCGCAGGTATGTGAAGGATTCTACATCTTCCAGAGTTTCGCCATCAAGAGTGATTGGATTGCTGTTCTCCGTGTTCTGTTTGAGGACCTTGGTTTTCCCTTTGTGTATTCTGGGCCTACTGATGCAGAGACTGCTGCTACACTAGCTGTCTTTATCTGCATTTGTTCGTGTGTATGCGATAGGATGGCTAGGTCATCTGTGAAGTCCAAATCGTCTAGTTGATTCTGAGCTATCCATTGTATTCCGTATTTTCCCTCAGGTATCAAGGTCTTCATAAACCAGTCGACCACCAGAAGAAAAAGGAAGGGAGAGAGTAAACAGCCTTGTCTGACTTCGGTACTTATTTGGAATGCATTTGTCAGCTGTACTCCATGAATGGCCTTGCACTGTAGTCCGTCGTATGAGTCCCGGATAATGTCGACAATCTTCTCAGGAACTCCGTAGTGTCGAAATAGTTTCCATAATGTTCTCTTATCTACACTGTCAAACGTTTTTTCATAATTAATGAAATTGACGTACAGTGACATTTTTCACGCAAGTGACTGTTCGACGATGATCCGCAGTGTCGCAATTCGGTCTGTGCACGACCGATCCTTACGGAATCCAGCTTGTTGATCTCAAAGTTGGGCGTGTACTGC